TTACCCATTGTTCATAATTAACCAGAACAAATTAAAATTATAACAATTAGTAAATCTGATAAATGACAGAGCAATTCATCACATCAAATACTCTTTAATGCAGTATTACAAATATAGCTAACCAAAAATATAACAAATTGCTCCAAACAGTTTCAAACAAATCTTTAAAAATTGCATTTTGATTTTTGAATGCGTCTTCTATCTAGACGAATGATTTATTGTGTGGTGGGACATTGAGAACAAATGGACAGATTAGAGTGCACCACCTCTTCCACTGTCTCCTCCTCTAATCTGGCAACCTTTTTAGGGGGCTTACCCTTTGGTGCCTAAAATGACAAAATATCTTTCTGCTTTTTTCCTGACATCTTTGAAAAATACAAATGCAACATTATGACAATGATTAAATATTACCCAGAGCAATCTGCTGTAATACATCCTTAATGTAACTAGAAAGACTATTAATATTACAGTATAATATAATTTAAAATAAAATCAGTAAATCTTCATTCCTTTCCTACCCACTAACATTTCTCTTAAGCCCCTTTCCAGTGGCGTAACTTTGTTTTAAAAAGTGGGTGGGACATGTGTGTAAATGAATGAATCACGTGACACGTGAATAAAAACCGATCCGACTTTACAACATCTCCAGTGGCAGTGGAAATAGCCTATACAGAAAGTCCTGTAAAATTAAACGAATAAATTGACCTAATAATATGAATAAAAATTATATAAACAAAAATATACATAAAAGTTTTAAAAGTAAATTAACTATTAGGCCAGAATTTTGATAACTGATTTTTTGCGGAACGCGCACGATTAAAATTTAAATTGGCTTATTGTACGCACAAACTGCTATACAATTAAACGAATAAATGGGCCCAATAATATAAATAAAGATAAAAAAAAGTGTATAAAACGTAAAGAAATAAAAGAATAAAGGCCTACATAAACATTTTAAAAGTAAATTTAAAAAGTAAATTAACTATTAGGCCAACATTCGTATAACTGAACTTTTGCGCAGAGTGCACATGGATTACAATTTAAATGGCTTATGTTGTCAAACCTTTTAAAAAAAAAGAAAGAAAGAAAGAAAGAAAACGAATTGCGTTCCTTATCTACAGTTCTTTTGAGTTCACCTTCAAGAACACAAGTTTGGACAATGTCTGAGGATTCAGACTCATGCTGTGGCTGCGGAGAAAACCCTCTCTGCCAGACTCGTGTTGTGAGGTGAGCGGAGCGAAATTGGAGCGGGAAATAGGGCGACGACGCTCCGTCCTTTTAAAAATGCCCCTCTGCGCTCTGTCCAAGATCCGCCCGCTCTCTCCCCGCTCTCTCCCGCTCCACTCTGCTCACATGCTCGATCTGCACCGGAACGAACAAATAGTCTCCGAAACGGATTGAAGCGCGCATGCATGTGAAGACTGTGCGTGAGCCACGAGATACACTGTAACCGCGCCACCGATCGCAGGCGGCAGAGCCGGCCCGAGCCTTTTGGGGGCCGCGTTAACCATGTTAACCGTGTTAACCATAACCTTTTAAATACTCGACCCAGTTCCATTGCTTAGCAACGGGAAGAAACTCCTGTAACTTCAGTGCCCAACCCGTATCACAACAAGACGTGAAATAATCACGTTGGTCCAATTTGGAAAACGTGTAGATGTCACGGTTTAGTTTAAACTCAGAACCATATATGGGGCTATACTGCCCTCTTGTGTCAAATTATATTTCTATATTTATTTTTCCAACAAATAAAACTAAACCCGCAATAGATGCAGTGGCTCAGTTGATAAAGCGTTGGGCTTTAATCAAGAAGTTCAATTCCCATTTGCGTTAAATGCTGTGATTATATCAAACAAAGTGGCCTAAACAATATATCTTCAACCCGGTTTTTTACAGTCTATGATCTACTTAAACGCAGGCAGACACAGCAACAGTTGTAACTTGTAGGCAGGTATATTGATCATTAAATCAGAGTTTTGTTATCTTGAATGATTAATTCAGTCATTTTCATTCATTCATTGATTTATGTCACTTGTTTAAGTAATCTAAAAAAAATAAAAAATAACCCCGATTAGGGGGCCCCCTGGTGGTCAGGGGGCCCTAAGCGGCCGCTTAGTTCGCTTATGCCTCGGGCCGGCTCTGGCAGGCGGCAAGGAGCACTTTGATCACTTGATTTAAAAAACAACGTATTTCAGGGCTAGATCGCTTCTTTTATTTTACAAACGAATGAAATGAATGGTCTGCCAGTTGGAGATGTTTTATTTAGGTCTACTGTTAGCTATCCGTGCCGGGAGAGCTTTTAAAAAGTGGTGGGGACAATATCGACCCTGGCAAAAAGTGGTGGGGACATGTCCCACCCGTCCCACCCGCAAATTACGCCCCTGCCCCTTTCACACAGCGAGTTGATCCCAGGAAATTGCCGGGAAATTGCCAGAACGCAAAATGTGTGAACGCAAACACGACCTGGGATTGTTTCTGGGATTGATGCCGGGTTGGGGACCTAGTAACATTGCCGTAATCAGTCCCGGAACGCGCGCTGTGTGAACAAAAGCCAGGACCAATGCCGTAAAGGGTGTGTCATAGTGATGACGCTCGTGCCATCGCGCGACTCTGTTGCTCTTAGAAGAAAGTTTGTGTTCGTCGTCAACAAAGAAAGGACGAACAAATACCTGCAAACCGGAGCGAAGCAGAGACCAGGAGCTCCTCACTATCCGTACTGAAGCTGAGATGGTTCACCAGCGCGTGCCGTGTAGGGTTGCCAACTCTCACGCATCTGGCGTGACACTCACGCATTCAGCCTCAATCTCACGGTCTCACGCTCAACATAGAAATCTCACGCTAAATTAGACATTCTTCTGGGCTGTATTTTTTTGTATTACTATAAGCAAGTTCAGGCTCTTAACTACTGATTGGACGCAGAGAAAAATCGCGGAAAAAGAGTACACTGACACCGACAGACTACAGAGAAGTTTACTCCTGATATGGAGCGTTGTGGCGCTTTTAAATGTGACAGAACGCAGTAGCGCGTCAGTTCAAACGGCACTTGATACAGTTGCCTAGGCTACAACACCCACAGGGCACGAGCAAAACGTGTATCTGGTAATCTCCCGCTTTATATTAACAAACTGTCAACACGGGCTTTTGCGATGCACAGAGAGACGCTGCGCTGCCTATGACCTTGAACGTGAGTTGAGAACGAACATTTGCACAACGTGCCTGTCTTTTTAGCAAAAAAGATATCTTTCACTAAATATCTACAGTGGCGTAGGGCGAGGGCGTGAGGTGCTGATAGCAAACTTTGACGTGTTCGACCCGAGTTCGAATCCGGCTTTTGCCTTTTAAGCCCCTTTCACACAGCGAGTTGATCCCAGGAAATTGCCGGGAAATTGCCAGAACGCCTTCTGTGTGAACGCAAACACGACCTGGGATTGATTCTGGGATTGATCCCAGGTTGGGGACCTAGTAATATTGCCGTAATCAGTCCCGGAACGCGCGCTGTGTGAACAAAAGCCAGGACCAATGCCGTAAAGGGTGTGTCATAGTGATGATGCTTGTGCCATCGCGTGACTCTGTTGCTCTTAGAAGAAAGTTTGTGTTCGTCATCAACAAAGAAAGGACGAACAAATACCTGCAAACTGGAGCGACGCAGAGACCAGGAGCTCCTCACTATCCGTATTCCGTAGCTGAGATCGTTCACCAGCTTTGTGGAACGGTATGCGCGTGTACATGTTTTCGACGCATCCGTTACGTCTCATCCTGACGTCATGGTGTCTTCCCGGGATTTTTACAGGTTGTGTGTGAACGCACTCACAGATCCCGGCAAATCACTTGCAGTGTGAATGAACCGAAATCAAACTATCCCGGGACAAATGCTGGGTCAAATTATCCGTGTATTTCCTGGAATCTCTGTGTGAAAGGGGCTTTACTCTCTCTTCTCATCTGTTGTTTTCTCCAAAATAAAAGCTCAAGGGTTTATTTCTTGCAAGTGAAGAAATTAGGACAAAACTATTGTAATTTTCCTATACAATAGTGTAAGTAAAATATACTTTTGAAATATTCATTTTCATTTATACAGCAGCCTACATTTATAGACTAGGCCTATATGGATTTTACGTAATAGGAATAATTATATAAATCATTATTACATTATTATAATAATCGTTTGGCATCCTAAAAGAGACTTTATATCATAGACTTTATATCATAACTAAAAAGATGTTTGATCCCTCTTTAATGTACAGGTACAAGTCGAGGCTTTTGCTTTGTTGAATGTCACAGTTCATGATTTGAAGCCGGTTAAAACTCTTAATTTTGAGCTCTCAAAGTGCACCAGATTGATGCATTTAACCTTAAAATGTACAAAATTTTCTTACGGGGGAGCATGCCCCCGAACCCCCCTAGAAGGACAGAGGTCTCTGTTTTTTAATCAGTAAAACTGTTAGCCTAATGCCAAATTAAAATTGGACAAACTATACATTGTGCCCTACAAGATCTTGTGACTCCCCCCCCCACAAAACCCCCCCCCACAAAAAAAAAAACTCACTCCAAGCAAAACTCAAAAGTTGGCAACCCTGGGGATGGCGTAATTTTTGAAGATGTACACCAGTTAAATTGTATACAACATATTAACTGATGACCATGTTTTCTGTCAGCATTGCACTATTACTAACTCTACTATAGTGGGGTAGGTTGCAACCGCACTCTCGATCTTTGAAACCGATTAATGCACTTTAGTGAGAAATGGTAGATTTCTAAGCCACTTTGAATTGAAGCAGATTAATGTGTGAATATTATAAAGTTTGAGACTCACTGCAAAACTCGTGACTCGTGACAAACTATTACAGCACTTCCTGGTCTCCCCTAATGATCCTCTTGAATCCTCTTCTGTAGTGTCCGGTCAGTGTCCGGCTACGCTGACTGTCGTGCCGTCCCGTCGAGGATGCACTTCTGATCGAGACTGCTCTGGAGGACACAAATGCTGTCAATTTCCCTGTGGGCGCTCGTGTGTGCCGCCTGTTTTCAGTGAGTTTTAATTAATGGATGCTATACGTCTTCCAAAAAAAAAAAAAAAACAGATTTTTTTTTCTCTCAAATCGCTAGTAGGTTTCACAAATAATTGCAAAGAAACCTAGATTACAGACTGAATATTCCGGTAAATCCTCCTACAGTCATCTTATGATGACTTTTTTTTTTTTTTCATACAGTGAATGAAACATTCAGTATTCAGTTCTGTGGCTTCTCTGTCATGTGTCTCTATAACAGCAAAGCCAGGAGAATGTCCAAGCAAAAAGTTTGGTGCAGGAACGTGTGCCAAGTTGTGTAACTATGACAGTGACTGTCCGAACAATGAGAAATGCTGCAGCAATGGATGTGGACATCAGTGCATGGCTCCATTTGCAGGTATTTATTATATTAGTGTTTGGGTTACTAACTCATTTCAGTTTGTCTTGTTTTATTACTAATTGTTCTCAATGTAAAAAGTGTTCAGCCAATTGCAAGGTTTTGAGCTCAGGATGGCTTTCCAAAAATTAATTCTTAATACCATTATTTATTATTAATATTTAAGGAGTAAAACTTGCTATTTGGGTTTGGTGCTGTATCTGAGACTGAATGCCGCTCAATGGACAGTCTAAAGTTGAACATCTGTATCCATCCAGTGAAGCCTGTACCCGAACCGCCAAAGCCTCCAGTGAAGCCTGAAGGTGAACAACAGAAGCCTGCAGTGAGGCCTGCAGCCGAACCACCGAAGCCCTCCGACGAACTGCCCGAGCCTTCCGACGAGCTACCGGAGCATTCCGACGAATTACCGGACTCTTCCGACGAGTTACCGGAGCCTTCCGATGAGCTGCCTGCTGCCGAACCCGGAAGGCCTCCTGTGAAGCCTGCAGCTGAACCCGGAAAGCCTCCAGTGAAGCCTGTAGCCGAACCACCAAGGCCTTCCGACGAGCAGCCCGAGCCTTCGGACGAACTGCCCGAGCCCTCCGAACTACCGGAGCCTTCTGACGAACTGCCCGAGCCCCCTGCAGCCGAACCCGGACGGCCTCCTGTGAAGCCTGCAGCCGAACCCGGACGGCCTCCTGTGAAGCCTGCAGCCGAACCCGGAAGGCCTCCTGTGAGGCCTGCAGCCGAACCCGAAAGGCCTCCTGTGAAGCCTGCAGCCGAACCCGGAAGGCCTCCTGTGAAGCCTGCAGCCGAACCCGGAAGGCCTCCTGTGAAGCCTGCAGCCGAACCCAGGCCTCCAGTGAAGCCTGTAGCCGAACCTCCTAGGCCTTCCGACGAGCAGCCCGAGACTTCGGACGAACTGCCCGAGCCCTCCGAACTACCGGAGCCTTCCGACGAACTGCCCGAGCCCCCTGCAGCCGAACCCAGAAGGCCTCCTGTGAAGCCTGCGGCCGAACCCGGAAGGCCTCCTGTGAAGCCTGCAGCCGAACCCGGAAGGCCTTCTGTGAAGCCTGCAGCCGAACCCGGAAGGCCTCCTGTGAAGCCTGCAGCTGAACCCGGAAAGCCTCCAGTGAAGCCTGTAGCCGAACCACCAAGGCCTTCCGACGAGCAGCCCGAGCCTTCGGACGAACTGCCCGAGCCCTCCGAACTACCGGAGCCTTCTGACGAACTGCCCGAGCCCCCTGCAGCCGAACCCGGAAGGCCTCCTGTGAAGCCTGCAGCCGAACCCGGAAGGCCTCCTGTGAAGCATGCCGAACCCGCAAAGCCTCCAGTGTGTGCCGAAAACTGTCAAAGTCACCCTTCTGGCCAATGTCCTGGCCATAAGTAATGTGACTATGCATGCAGTTAACTGTGCTGATTTAACCATTGGATGTATAGTGTGTTTCCTTTATCACCAAATAAATCTCACACTGATATGTCTACTTCCTCTTTTCGTTATTTTTTTATAAGTGGAAAAACAAAGAATTAGTTTTTTGTTTCGTTATGTCAGTATTCGTTTGGCTGTTCTCTCACATAATGGCTCATTGGAATCTATGCATGAAATCTCACCCTCCTTCAAAATGCATGGTAGCGTGCCTAGCAGAGTCTGCAATGCGTCACGAGATGAAAGACTGTGTTAAATTGCCTCATGTCTCAAAATGCATAACATTACAGTGAGAATGAACATAAAAAATGTACAGTGCTCTAGTTGTACCACCTGACTGATGCAGATTCATTTTGCCTTTGATAGTGTTGACATGGAAACATAAATCCAAGCCTGAATCCAAATGCAATGATTGGATAAACATTTCTTCTTTTTTTTTTTTTGGTCCTGAGAACTCCACAGAAGATATGTGCATGTTTTAATATTTAGAAGACTTATATTATTGATTGCAATAGAACGTAAAGCTTCAACCGATATGTCAATTGACCAATAGTTTTCTGCATTCTTAATGTTCAATGTGTTCGGACATCGAGGAAGACAATGGAGACACTATAGGAGCTGAAGAGTCACGCTTTAAATCGCTTGCGCCGAGTTCACACTGAACAATTTTCATTTGGTGACAGGTTTTGGGAGATCACCAACAAATGCCTGAAACCATAAGTAAATCGGTGCTCGTTCACATGAGTGACAATATCTGGGCCTGTCGGCGATTCAAAATCCTGCTGTGTGAACGTGTTCTGACTGAAAACTACAGGACAGCGGGATGTTCGGGGAAGAGTTATAGACCAGAATATCGTTATTTTCAGTATGTTCAATCAAGCATTGTCACCTGATGGAGTTTTAGGACACCATAAGGTCACTGGATGGAGTTTTTCGGTTCCTTACCACTGTTGCCTTTGGCTTGCTCGGTTGGAGATATTCAAATTAATTCAACCAATCAGTGATACCTTTGATCAGCTCTACCAAACGTGGATGTTGTTCAACTAAGAAACGAACATTGTTATTATGTTTTGATTGGTACTGTGAAGCTGCTTTGACGCAATCTATATTGTGGAAAGCGCTATATAAATATACTTGACTATTTTAACAGAAAGCACAAACATTTGCTTGAACAGCAGCACAGTGTAAAATGTATTTACCCCCAACTCTCTTTGCACAACACACAACCTTTGCTCCACTCGTCTCCTCAACCCTTAACTCCAGCATAATCTATTTTATTTCTGCTTTTCACTGCAAATCAGCGTGCAGACAATCTGTATCGAATATCTTCTTGCAGGCTATCATTTTGTTTAATAACGATGTTCAATGCAGAGTTATGCCAGTCTCCAGTAGAGATTAATTTCTTGGAGAGTTTAGGAGTTTAGTCATAACTAGGTTGTGGTAGAACTCCGGCTTGTACCACGTGATCGCTGTACCACCTGACCACTGCAGATTCATTTGGCGTTGATAGTGTTGCCATAAAAACAATCAATCATCTCCAAACTACGGTTATTATTGTGACATCCAACCCTAATCAAACACACCTGAACAAGCTAATCAAGGTCTTCAAGAATGGGCTATATTGGAAAGCTACAGACAGGTGATTTTCATTAGGGTTGGAGTTACCCAGAACTCCAATTTGATCTTTAAAAACGCATTTTCAAAAAGTGCTTTAAACTCTTTTGATAGCGTTTGTTGTGGGACTCAGAGGGTATTTTGATGCAGAAACAGGGTTTTCCTTTGTAGTTTTGTGGACCTCACTGTCCGCCTCTGCCGATTCACTAATTCAGTGCATCTTCCAGCAGAGTTGATTGTGAGATCGCAGGTCGAGAGGATGACAGCTCAAGTGTGCTGCTTGTTTAGTGTGGTTTTATTGTGTTTGTCTGCTTGTTTGAGTACAACACACGCTGGAGTCTTAGGTGAGAAGTTCTTTTAGCTTCATTACGGAGCCCGAAGAAGTGCATAAACAAAGCGCCTTACAAAATTTGGTTTTAGACGTATCTGCTTACGAAAATACAGTAAAAGTCAAGTGGAAGTTCAACTTTGTATGTTGGTTTAGTTTTAATGATAAGCAAAGTGTGAATATGCAAACTGTCTTAATGCGTTTTTCATTGTACAAGTAAAACCCACGTAATCACTAATATAGGCGTTTTTGTTTACTGTAAACAAGAACATTAGAGTTATGTGGCTACAAAATTCTTACCAAACTATCCCAGTGTTTAACTTTTGCCTAAATTTTATTGTTTTAAGAAATTCATAATCCTACAATATAACATGGGGAGCTAACCCAGATAGCAAACTGACATTGAATCAACGTGGAAATATGACATCGAAACAACGTTGATCTGACGTTGTTTTGCTCATCGAATTAACGTTGAACCAACGTCAGACGCATCATTCTTTCAAAACTAACGGAAAATCAACTTGAAATCAACGCGTTGTTTCAACGTTATGAAAGCAAACCAATTTTCGATTTTCATTTAGCTTTGAAGAATGCCGCGTCTGACGTTGGTTCAACGTTAATTCGATGAGCAAAATCAACGTTGTTTCAATGTCATGAGAGACGTCGTTTCCACGTTGATTCAATGTCAGTTTGCTATCTGGGAAGTTTAACCGATAACTCCACGTTATGTTTTAGTGCGTGTCTATATTTGTTTTGTTTTCTGTTGAGAAGCCTATTGAAATGCCTAAAGGAAATGAGGCTGGTCATGGGGATGGCGTAATTTTTGAAGATGTACACCAGTTAAATTGTATACAACATATTAACTGATGACCATGTTTTCTGTCAGCATTGCACTATTACTAACTCTACTATAGTGGGGTAGGTTGCAACCGCACTCTCGATCTTTGAAACCGATTAATGCACTTTAGTGAGAAATGGTAGATTTCTAAGCCACTTTGAATTGAAGCAGATTAATGTGTGAATATTATAAAGTTTGAGACTCACTGCAAAACTCGTGACTTGCAAATGCTGAAGCAAACTATTACGGCACTTCCTGGTCTCCCCTAATGATCCTCTTGAATCCTCTTCTGTAGTGTCCGGTCAGTGTCCGGCTACGCTGACTGTCGTGCCGTCCCGTCGAGGATGCACTTCTGATCGAGACTGCTCTGGAGGACACAAATGCTGTCAATTTCACTGTGGGCGCTCGTGTGTGCCGCCTGTTTTCAGTGAGTTTTAATTAATGGATGCTATACGTCTTCCAAAAAAAAAAAAAAAAAAAAACAGATTTTCTTTTTCTCTCAAATCGCTAGTAGGTTTCACAAATAATTGCAAAGAAACCTAGATTACAGACTGAATATTCCGGTAAATCCTCCTACAGTCATCTTATGATGACTTTTTTTTTTTTTTTTTCATACAGTGAATGAAACATTCAGTATTCAGTTCTGTGGCTTCTCTGTCATGTGTCTCTATAACAGCAAAGCCAGGAGAATGTCCAAGCAAAAAGTTTGGTGCAGGAACGTGTGCCAAGTTGTGTTACTATGACAGTGACTGTCCGAACAATGAGAAATGCTGCAGCAATGGATGTGGACATCAGTGCATGGCTCCATTTGCAGGTATTTATTATATTAGTGTTTGGGTTACTAACTCATTTCAGTTTGTCTTGTTTTATTACTAATTGTTCTCAATGTAAAAAGTGTTCAGCCAATTGCAAGGTTTTGAGCTCAGGATGGCTTTCCAAAAATTAATTCTTAATACCATTATTTATTATTAATAGTTAAGGAGTAAAACTTGCTATTTGGGTTTGGTGCTGTATCTGAGACTGAATGCCGCTCAATGGACAGTCTAAAGTTGAACATCTGTATCCATCCAGTGAGGCCTGCAGCCGAACCACCGAAGCCCTCCGACGAACTGCCCGAGCCTTCCGACGAGCTACCGGAGCCTTCCGACGAATTACCGGAGTCTTCCGACGAGTTACCGGAGCCTTCCGATGAGCTGCCTGCTGCCGAACCCGGAAGGCCTCCTGTGAAGCCTGCAGCTGAACCCGGAAAGCCTCCAGTGAAGCCTGTAGCCGAACCACCAAGGCCTTCCGACGAGCAGCCCGAGCCTTCGGACGAACTGCCCGAGCCCTCCGAACTACCGGAGCCTTCTGACGAACTGCCCGAGCCCCCTGCAGCCGAACCCGGACGGCCTCCTGTGAAGCCTGCAGCCGAACCCGGACGGCCTCCTGTGAAGCCTGCAGCCGAACCCGGACGGCCTCCTGTGAAGCCTGCAGCCGAACCCGGAAGGCCTCCTGTGAAGCCTGCAGCCGAACCCGGAAGGCCTCCTGTGAAGCCTGCAGCCGAACCCGGAAGGCCTCCTGTGAAGCCTGCAGCCGAACCCGGAAAGCCTCCAGTGAAGCCTGTAGCCGAACCACCAAGGCCTTCCGACGAGCAGCCCGAGCCTTCGGACGAACTGCCCGAGCCCTCCGAACTACCGGAGCCTTCTGACGAACTGCCCGAGCCCCCTGCAGCCGAACCCGGAAGGCCTCCTGTGAAGCCTGCAGCCGAACCCGGACGGCCTCCTGTGAAGCCTGCAGCCGAACCCGGACGGCCTCCTGTGAAGCCTGCAGCCGAACCCGGAAGGCCTCCTGTGAAGCCTGCAGCCGAACCCGGAAGGCCTCCTGTGAAGCCTGCAGCCGAACCCGGAAGGCCTCCTGTGAAGCCTGCAGCCGAACCCGGAAGGCCTCCTGTGAAGCCTGCAGCCGAACCCGGAAGGCCTCCTGTGAAGCCTGCAGCCGAACCCGGAAGGCCTCCTGTGAAGCCTGCAGCCGAACCCGGAAGGCCTCCTGTGAAGCCTGCAGCCGAACCCGGAAGGCCTCCTGTGAAGCCTGCAGCCGAACCCGGAAGGCCTCCTGTGAAGCCTGCAGCCGAACCCGGAAGGCCTCCTGTGAAGCATGCCGAACCCGCAAAGCCTCCAGTGTGTGCCGAAAACTGTCAAAGTCACCCTTCTGGCCAATGTCCTGGCCATAAGTAATGTGACTATGCATGCAGTTAACTGTGCTGATTTAACCATTGGATGTATAGTGTGTTTCCTTTATCACCAAATAAATCTCACACTGATATGTCTACTTCCTCTTTTCGTTATTTTTTTTATAAGTGGGAAAACAAAGAATTAGTTTTTTGTTTCGTTATGTCAGTATTCGTTTGGCTGTTCTCTCACATAATGGCTCATTAGAATCTATGCATGAAATCTCACCCTCCTTCAAAATGCATGGTAGCGTGCCTAGCAGAGTCTGCAATGCGTCACGAGATGAAAGACTGTGTTAAATTGCCTCATGTCTCAAAATGCATAACATTACAGTGAGAATGAACGTAAAAAATGTACAGTGCTCTAGTTGTACCACCTGACTGATGCAGATTCATTTTGCCTTTGATAGTGTTGACATGGAAACATAAATCCAAGCCTGAATCCAAATGCAATGATTGGATAAACATTTCTTCTTCTTTTTTTGGTCCTGAGAACTCCACAGAAGATATGTGCATGTTTTAATATTTAGAAGACTTATATTATTGATTGCAATAGGACGTAAAGCTTCAACCGATATGTCAATTGACCAATAGTTTTCTGCATTCTTAATGTTCAATGTGTTCGGACATCGAGGAAGACAATGGAGACACTACAGGAGCTGAAGAGTCACGCTTTAAATCGCTTGCGCCGAGTTCACACTGAACAATTTTCATTTGGTGACAGGTTTTGGGAGATCACCAACAAATGCCTGAAACCATAAGTAAATCGGTGCTCGTTCACATGAGTGACAATATCTGGGCCTGTCGGCGATTCAAAATCCTGCTGTGTGAACGTGTTCTGACTGAAAACTACAGGACAGCGGGATGTTCGGGGAAGAGTTATAGACCAGAATATCGTTATTTTCAGTATGTTCAATCAAGCATTGTCACCTGATGGAGTTTTAGGACACCATAAGGTCACTGGATGGAGTTTTTCGGTTCCTTACCACTGTTGCCTTTGGCTTGCTCAGTTGGAGATATTCAAATTAATTCAACCAATCAGTGATACCTTTGATCAGCTCTACCAAACGTGGATGTTGTTCAACTAAGAAACGAACATTGTTATTATGTTTTGATTGGTACTGTGAAGCTGCTTTGACGCAATCTATATTGTGGAAAGCGCTATATAAATATACTTGACTATTTTAACAGAAAGCACAAACATTTGCTTGAACAGCAGCACAGTGTAAAATGTATTTACCCCCAACTCTCTTTGCACAACACACAACCTTTGCTCCACTCGTCTCCTCAACCCTTAACTCCAGCATAATCTATTTTATTTCTGCTTTTCACTGCAAATCAGCGTGCAGACAATCTGTATCGAATATCTTCTTGCAGGCTATCATTTTGTTTAATAACGATGTTCAATGCAGAGTTATGCCAGTCTCCAGTAGAGATTAATTTCTTGGAGAGTTTAGGAGTTTAGTCATAACTAGGTTGTGGTAGAACTCCGGCTTGTACCACGTGATCGCTGTACCACCTGACCACTGCAGATTCATTTGGCGTTGATAGTGTTGCCATAAAAACAATCAATCATCTCCAAACTACGGTTATTATTGTGACATCCAACCCTAATCAAACACACCTGAACAAGCTAATCAAGGTCTTCAAGAATGGGCTATATTGGAAAGCTACAGACAGGTGATTTTCATTAGGGTTGGAGTTACCCAGAACTCCAATTTGATCTTTAAAAACGCATTTTCAAAAAGTGCTTTAAACTCTTTTGATAGCGTTTGTTGTGGGACTCAGAGGGTATTTTGATGCAGAAACAGGGTTTTCCTTTGTAGTTTTGTGGACCTCACTGTCCGCCTCTGCCGATTCACTAATTCAGTGCATCTTCCAGCAGAGTTGATTGTGAGATCGCAGGTCGAGAGGATGACAGCTCAAGTGTGCTGCTTGTTTAGTGTGGTTTTATTGTGTTTGTCTGCTTGTTTGAGTACAACACACGCTGGAGTCTTAGGTGAGAAGTTCTTTTAGCTTCATTACGGAGCCCGAAGAAGTGCATAAACAAAGCGCCTTACAAAATTTGGTTTTAGACGTATCTGCTTACGAAAATACAGTAAAAGTCAAGTGGAAGTTCAACTTTGTATGTTGGTTTAGTTTTAATGATAAGCAAAGTGTGAATATGCAAACTGTCTTAATGCGTTTTTCATTGTACAAGTAAAACCCACGTAATCACTAATATAGGCGTTTTTGTTTACTGTAAACAAGAACATTAGAGTTATGTGGCTACAAAATTCTTACCAAACTATCCCAGTGTTTAACTTTTGCCTAAATTTTATTGTTTTAAGAAATTCATAATCCTACAATATAACATGGGGAGCTAACCCAGATAGCAAACTGACATTGAATCAACGTGGAAATATGACATCGAAACAACGTTGATCTGACGTTGTTTTGCTCATCGAATTAACGTTGAACCAACGTCAGACGCATCATTCTTTCAAAACTAACGGAAAATCAACTTGAAATCAACGCGTTGTTTCAACGTTATGAAAGCAAACCAATTTTCGATTTTCATTTAGCTTTGAAGAATGCCGCGTCTGACGTTGGTTCAACGTTAATTCGATGAGCAAAATCAACGTTGTTTCAATGTCATGAGAGACGTCGTTTCCACGTTGATTCAATGTCAGTTTGCTATCTGGGAAGTTTAACCGATAACTCCACGTTATGTTTTAGTGCGTGTCTATATTTGTTTTGTTTTCTGTTGAGAAGCCTATTGAAATGCCTAAAGGAAATGAGGCTGGTCATGGGGATGGCGTAATTTTTGAAGATGTACACCAGTTAAATTGTATACAACATATTAACTGATGACCATGTTTTCTGTCAGCATTGCACTATTACTAACTCTACTATAGTGGGGTAGGTTGCAACCGCACTCTCGATCTTTGAAACCGATTAATGCACTTTAGTGAGAAATGGTAGATTTCTAAGCCACTTTGAATTGAAGCAGATTAATGTGTGAATATTATAAAGTTTGAGACTCACTGCAAAACTCGTGACTTGCAAATGCTGAAGCAAACTATTACGGCACTTCCTGGTCTCCCCTAATGATCCTCTTGAATCCTCTTCTGTAGTGTCCGGTCAGTGTCCGGCTACGCTGACTGTCGTGCCGTCCCGTCGAGGATGCACTTCTGATCGAGACTGCTCTGGAGGACACAAATGCTGTCAATTTCACTGTGGGCGCTCGTGTGTGCCGCCTGTTTTCAGTGAGTTTTAATTAATGGATGCTATACGTCTTCCAAAAAAAAAAAAAAAAAAAAACAGATTTTCTTTTTCTCTCAAATCGCTAGTAGGTTTCACAAATAATTGCAAAGAAACCTAGATTACAGACTGAATATTCCGGTAAATCCTCCTACAGTCATCTTATGATGACTTTTTTTTTTTTTTTTTCATACAGTGAATGAAACATTCAGTATTCAGTTCTGTGGCTTCTCTGTCATGTGTCTCTATAACAGCAAAGCCAGGAGAATGTCCAAGCAAAAAGTTTGGTGCAGGAACGTGTGCCAAGTTGTGTTACTATGACAGTGACTGTCCGAACAATGAGAAATGCTGCAGCAATGGATGTGGACATCAGTGCATGGCTCCATTTGCAGGTATTTATTATATTAGTGTTTGGGTTACTAACTCATTTCAGTTTGTCTTGTTTTATTACTAATTGTTCTCAATGTAAAAAGTGTTCAGCCAATTGCAAGGTTTTGAGCTCAGGATGGCTTTCCAAAAATTAATTCTTAATACCATTATTTATTATTAATAGTTAAGGAGTAAAACTTGCTATTTGGGTTTGGTGCTGTATCTGAGACTGAATGCCGCTCAATGGACAGTCTAAAGTTGAACATCTGTATCCATCCAGTGAGGCCTGCAGCCGAACCACCGAAGCCCTCCGACGAACTGCCCGAGCCTTCCGACGAGCTACCGGAGCCTTCCGACGAATTACCGGAGTCTTCCGACGAGTTACCGGAGCCTTCCGATGAGCTGCCTGCTGCCGAACCCGGAAGGCCTCCTGTGAAGCCTGCAGCTGAACCCGGAAAGCCTCCAGTGAAGCCTGTAGCCGAACCACCAAGGCCTTCCGACGAGCAGCCCGAGCCTTCGGACGAACTGCCCGAGCCCTCCGAACTACCGGAGCCTTCTGACGAACTGCCCGAGCCCCCTGCAGCCGAACCCGGACGGCCTCCTGTGAAGCCTGCAGCCGAACCCGGACGGCCTCCTGTGAAGCCTGCAGCCGAACCCGGACGGCCTCCTGTGAAGCCTGCAGCCGAACCCGGAAGGCCTCCTGTGAAGCCTGCAGCCGAACCCGGAAGGCCTCCTGTGAAGCCTGCAGCCGAACCCGGAAGGCCTCCTGTGAAGCCTGCAGCCGAACCCGGAAAGCCTCCAGTGAAGCCTGTAGCCGAACCACCAAGGCCTTCCGACGAGCAGCCCGAGCCTTCGGACGAACTGCCCGAGCCCTCCGAACTACCGGAGCCTTCTGACGAACTGCCCGAGCCCCTGCAGCCGAACCCGGAAGGCCTCCTGTGAAGCCTGCAGCCGAACCCGGACGGCCTCCTGTGAAGCCTGCAGCCGAACCCGGACGGCCTCCTGTGAAGCCTGCAGCCGAACCCGGAAGGCCTCCTGTGAAGCCTGCAGCCGAACCCGGAAGGCCTCCTGTGAAGCCTGCAGCCGAACCCGGAAGGCCTCCTGTGAAGCCTGCAGCCGAACCCGGAAGGCCTCCTGTGAAGCCTGCAGCCGAACCCGGAAGGCCTCCTGTGAAGCCTGCAGCCGAACCCGGAAGGCCTCCTGTGAAGCCTGCAGCCGAACCCGGAAGGCCTCCTGTGAAGCCTGCAGCCGAACCCGGAAGGCCTCCTGTGAAGCCTGCAGCCGAACCCGGAAGGCCTCCTGTGAAGCCTGCAGCCGAACCCGGAAGGCCTCCTGTGAAGCCTGCAGCCGAACCCGGAAGGCCTCCTGTGAAGCCTGCAGCCGAACCCAGAAGGCCTCCTGTGAAGCCTGCAGCCGAACCCGGAAGGCCTCCTGTGAAGCCTGCAGCCGAACCCGGAAGGCCTCCTGTGAAGCATGCCGAACCCGCAAAGCCTCCAGTGTGTGCCGAAAACTGTCAAAGTCACCCTTCTGGCCAATGTCCTGGCCATAAGTAATGTGACTATGCATGCAGTTAACTGTGCTGATTTAACCATTGGATGTATAGTGTGTTTCCTTTATCACCAAATAAATCTCACACTGATATGTCTACTTCCTCTTTTCGTTATTTTTTTTATAAGTGGGAAAACAAAGAATTAGTTTTTTGTTTCGTTATGTCAGTATTCGTTTGGCTGTTCTCTCACATAATGGCTCATTAGAATCTATGCATGAAATCTCACCCTCCTTCAAAATGCATGGTAGCGTGCCTAGCAGAGTCTGCAATGCGTCACGAGATGAAAGACTGTGTTAAATTGCCTCATGTCTCAAAATGCATAACATTACAGTGAGAATGAACGTAAAAAATGTACAGTGCTCTAGTTGTACCACCTGACTGATGCAGATTCATTTTGCCTTTGATAGTGTTGACATGGAAACATAAATCCAAGCCTGAATCCAAATGCAATGATTGGATAAACATTTCTTCTTCTTTTTTTGGTCCTGAGAACTCCACAGAAGATATGTGCATGTTTTAATATTTAGAAGACTTATATTATTGATTGCAATAGGACGTAAAGCTTCAACCGATATGTCAATTGACCAATAGTTTTCTGCATTCTTAATGTTCAATGTGTTCGGACATCGAGGAAGACAATGGAGACACTACAGGAGCTGAAGAGTCACGCTTTAAATCGCTTGCGCCGAGTTCACACTGAACAATTTTCATTTGGTGACAGGTTTTGGGAGATCACCAACAAATGCCTGAAACCATAAGTAAATCGGTGCTCGTTCACATGAGTGACAATATCTGGGCCTGTCGGCGATTCAAAATCCTGCTGTGTGAACGTGTTCTGACTGAAAACTACAGGACAGCGGGATGTTCGGGGAAGAGTTATAGACCAGAATATCGTTATTTTCAGTATGTTCAATCAAGCATTGTCACCTGATGGAGTTTTAGGACACCATAAGGTCACTGGATGGAGTTTTTCGGTTCCTTACCACTGTTGCCTTTGGCTTGCTCAGTTGGAGATATTCAAATTAATTCAACCAATCAGTGATACCTTTGATCAGCTCTACCAAACGTGGATGTTGTTCAACTAAGAAACGAACATTGTTATTATGTTTTGATTGGTACTGTGAAGCTGCTTTGACGCAATCTATATTGTGGAAAGCGCTATATAAATATACTTGACTATTTTAACAGAAAGCACAAACATTTGCTTGAACAGCAGCACAGTGTAAAATGTATTTACCCCCAACTCTCTTTGCACAACACACAACCTTTGCTCCACTCGTCTCCTCAACCCTTAACTCCAGCATAATCTATTTTATTTCTGCTTTTCACTGCAAATCAGCGTGCAGACAATCTGTATCGAATATCTTCTTGCAGGCTATCATTTTGTTTAATAACGATGTTCAATGCAGAGTTATGCCAGTCTCCAGTAGAGATTAATTTCTTGGAGAGTTTAGGAGTTTAGTCATAACTAGGTTGTGGTAGAACTCCGGCTTGTACCACGTGATCGCTGTACCACCTGACCACTGCAGATTCATTTGGCGTTGATAGTGTTGCCATAAAAACAATCAATCATCTCCAAACTACGGTTATTATTGTGACATCCAACCCTAATCAAACACACCTGAACAAGCTAATCAAGGTCTTCAAGAATGGGCTATATTGGAAAGCTACAGACAGGTGATTTTCATTAGGGTTGGAGTTACCCAGAACTCCAATTTGATCTTTAAAAACGCATTTTCAAAAAGTGCTTTAAACTCTTTTGATAGCGTTTGTTGTGGGACTCAGAGGGTATTTTGATGCAGAAACAGGGTTTTCCTTTGTAGTTTTGTGGACCTCACTGTCCGCCTCTGCCGATTCACTAATTCAGTGCATCTTCCAGCAGAGTTGATTGTGAGATCGCAGGTCGAGAGGATGACAGCTCAAGTGTGCTGCTTGTTTAGTGTGGTTTTATTGTGTTTGTCTGCTTGTTTGAGTACAACACACGCTGGAGTCTTAGGTGAGAAGTTCTTTTAGCTTCATTACGGAGCCCGAAGAAGTGCATAAACAAAGCGCCTTACAAAATTTGGTTTTAGACGTATCTGCTTACGAAAATACAGTAAAAGTCAAGTGGAAGTTCAACTTTGTATGTTGGTTTAGTTTTAATGATAAGCAAAGTGTGAATATGCAAACTGTCTTAATGCGTTTTTCATTGTACAAGTAAAACCCACGTAATCACTAATATAGGCGTTTTTGTTTACTGTAAACAAGAACATTAGAGTTATGTGGCTACAAAATTCTTACCAAACTATCCCAGTGTTTAACTTTTGCCTAAATTTTATTGTTTTAAGAAATTCATAATCCTACAATATAACATGGGGAGCTAACCCAGATAGCAAACTGACATTGAATCAACGTGGAAATATGACATCGAAACAACGTTGATCTGACGTTGTTTTGCTCATCGAATTAACGTTGAACCAACGTCAGACGCATCATTCTTTCAAAACTAACGGAAAATCAACTTGAAATCAACGCGTTGTTTCAACGTTATGAAAGCAAACCAATTTTCGATTTTCATTTAGCTTTGAAGAATGCCGCGTCTGACGTTGGTTCAACGTTAATTCGATGAGCAAAATCAACGTTGTTTCAATGTCATGAGAGACGTCGTTTCCACGTTGATTCAATGTCAGTTTGCTATCTGGGAAGTTTAACCGATAACTCCACGTTATGTTTTAGTGCGTGTCTATATTTGTTTTGTTTTCTGTTGAGAAGCCTATTGAAATGCCTAAAGGAAATGAGGCTGGTCATGGGGATGGCGTAATTTTTGAAGATGTACACCAGTTAAATTGTATACAACATATTAACTGATGACCATGTTTTCTGTCAGCATTGCACTATTACTAACTCTACTATAGTGGGGTAGGTTGCAACCGCACTCTCGATCTTTGAAACCGATTAATGCACTTTAGTGAGAAATGGTAGATTTCTAAGCCACTTTGAATTGAAGCAGATTAATGTGTGAATATTATAAAGTTTGAGACTCACTGCAAAACTCGTGACTTGCAAATGCTGAAGCAAACTATTACGGCACTTCCTGGTCTCCCCTAATGATCCTCTTGAATCCTCTTCTGTAGTGTCCGGTCAGTGTCCGGCTACGCTGACTGTCGTGCCGTCCCGTCGAGGATGCACTTCTGATCGAGACTGCTCTGGAGGACACAAATGCTGTCAATTTCACTGTGGGCGCTCGTGTGTGCCGCCTGTTTTCAGTGAGTTTTAATTAATGGATGCTATACGTCTTCCAAAAAAAAAAAAAAAAAAAAACAGATTTTCTTTTTCTCTCAAATCGCTAGTAGGTTTCACAAATAATTGCAAAGAAACCTAGATTACAGACTGAATATTCCGGTAAATCCTCCTACAGTCATCTTATGATGACTTTTTTTTTTTTTTTTCATACAGTGAATGAAACATTCAGTATTCAGTTCTGTGGCTTCTCTGTCATGTGTCTCTATAACAGCAAAGCCAGGAGAATGTCCAAGCAAAAAGTTTGGTGCAGGAACGTGTGCCAAGTTGTGTTACTATGACAGTGACTGTCCGAACAATGAGAAATGCTGCAGCAATGGATGTGGACATCAGTGCATGGCTCCATTTGCAGGTATTTATTATATTAGTGTTTGGGTTACTAACTCATTTCAGTTTGTCTTGTTTTATTACTAATTGTTCTCAATGTAAAAAGTGTTCAGCCAATTGCAAGGTTTTGAGCTCAGGATGGCTTTCCAAAAATTAATTCTTAATACCATTATTTATTATTAATAGTTAAGGAGTAAAACTTGCTATTTGGGTTTGGTGCTGTATCTGAGACTGAATGCCGCTCAATGGACAGTCTAAAGTTGAACATCTGTATCCATCCAGTGAGGCCTGCAGCCGAACCACCGAAGCCCTCCGACGAACTGCCCGAGCCTTCCGACGAGCTACCGGAGCCTTCCGACGAATTACCGGAGTCTTCCGACGAGTTACCGGAGCCTTCCGATGAGCTGCCTGCTGCCGAACCCGGAAGGCCTCCTGTGAAGCCTGCAGCTGAACCCGGAAAGCCTCCAGTGAAGCCTGTAGCCGAACCACCAAGGCCTTCCGACGAGCAGCCCGAGCCTTCGGACGAACTGCCCGAGCCCTCCGAACTACCGGAGCCTTCTGACGAACTGCCCGAGCCCCCTGCAGCCGAACCCGGACGGCCTCCTGTGAAGCCTGCAGCCGAACCCGGACGGCCTCCTGTGAAGCCTGCAGCCGAACCCGGACGGCCTCCTGTGAAGCCTGCAGCCGAACCCGGAAGGCCTCCTGTGAAGCCTGCAGCCGAACCCGGAAGGCCTCCTGTGAAGCCTGCAGCCGAACCCGGAAGGCCTCCTGTGAAGCCTGCAGCCGAACCCGGAAGGCCTCCTGTGAAGCCTGCAGCCGAACCGGAAAGCCTCCAGTGAAGCCTGTAGCCGAACCACCAAGGCCTTCCGACGAGCAGCCCGAGCCTTCGGACGAACTGCCCGAGCCTCCGAACTACCGGAGCCTTCTGACGAACTGCCCGAGCCCCCTGCAGCCGAACCCGGACGGCCTCCTGTGAAGCCTGCAGCCGAACCCGGACGGCCTCCTGTGAAGCCTGCAGCCGAACCCGGACGGCCTCCTGTGAAGCCTGCAGCCGAACCCGGAAGGCCTCCTGTGAAGCCTGCAGCCGAACCCGGAAGGCCTCCTGTGAAGCCTGCAGCCGAACCCGGAAGGCCTCCTGTGAAGCCTGCAGCCGAACCCGGAAGGCCTCCTGTGAAGCCTGCAGCCGAACCCGGAAGGCCTCCTGTGAAGCCTGCAGCCGAACCCGGAAGGCCTCCTGTGAAGCCTGCAGCCGAACCCGGAAGGCCTCCTGTGAAGCCTGCAGCCGAACCCAGAAGGCCTCCTGTGAAGCCTGCAGCCGAACCCGGAAGGCCTCCTGTGAAGCCTGCAGCCGAACCCGGAAGGCCTCCTGTGAAGCATGCCGAACCCGCAAAGCCTCCAGTGTGTGCCGAAAACTGTCAAAGTCACCCTTCTGGCCAATGTCCTGGCCATAAGTAATGTGACTATGCATGCAGTTAACTGTGCTGATTTAACCATTGGATGTATAGTGTGTTTCCTTTATCACCAAATAAATCTCACACTGATATGTCTACTTCCTCTTTTCGTTATTTTTTTTATAAGTGGGAAAACAAAGAATTAGTTTTTTGTTTCGTTATGTCAGTATTCGTTTGGCTGTTCTCTCACATAATGGCTCATTAGAATCTATGCATGAAATCTCACCCTCCTTCAAAATGCATGGTAGCGTGCCTAGCAGAGTCTGCAATGCGTCACGAGATGAAAGACTGTGTTAAATTGCCTCATGTCTCAAAATGCATAACATTACAGTGAGAATGAACGTAAAAAATGTACAGTGCTCTAGTTGTACCACCTGACTGATGCAGATTCATTTTGCCTTTGATAGTGTTGACATGGAAACATAAATCCAAGCCTGAATCCAAATGCAATGATTGGATAAACATTTCTTCTTCTTTTTTTGGTCCTGAGAACTCCACAGAAGATATGTGCATGTTTTAATATTTAGAAGACTTATATTATTGATTGCAATAGGACGTAAAGCTTCAACCGATATGTCAATTGACCAATAGTTTTCTGCATTCTTAATGTTCAATGTGTTCGGACATCGAGGAAGACAATGGAGACACTACAGGAGCTGAAGAGTCACGCTTTAAATCGCTTGCGCCGAGTTCACACTGAACAATTTTCATTTGGTGACAGGTTTTGGGAGATCACCAACAAATGCCTGAAACCATAAGTAAATCGGTGCTCGTTCACATGAGTGACAATATCTGGGCCTGTCGGCGATTCAAAATCCTGCTGTGTGAACGTGTTCTGACTGAAAACTACAGGACAGCGGGATGTTCGGGGAAGAGTTATAGACCAGAATATCGTTATTTTCAGTATGTTCAATCAAGCATTGTCACCTGATGGAGTTTTAGGACACCATAAGGTCACTGGATGGAGTTTTTCGGTTCCTTACCACTGTTGCCTTTGGCTTGCTCAGTTGGAGATATTCAAATTAATTCAACCAATCAGTGATACCTTTGATCAGCTCTACCAAACGTGGATGTTGTTCAACTAAGAAACGAACATTGTTATTATGTTTTGATTGGTACTGTGAAGCTGCTTTGACGCAATCTATATTGTGGAAAGCGCTATATAAATATACTTGACTATTTTAACAGAAAGCACAAACATTTGCTTGAACAGCAGCACAGTGTAAAATGTATTTACCCCCAACTCTCTTTGCACAACACACAACCTTTGCTCCACTCGTCTCCTCAACCCTTAACTCCAGCATAATCTATTTTATTTCTGCTTTTCACTGCAAATCAGCGTGCAGACAATCTGTATCGAATATCTTCTTGCAGGCTATCATTTTGTTTAATAACGATGTTCAATGAAGAGTTATGCCAGTCTCCAGTAGAGATTAATTTCTTGGAGAGTTTAGGAGTTTAGTCATAACTAGGTTGTGGTAGAACTCCGGCTTGTACCACGTGATCGCTGTACCACCTGACCACTGCAGATTCATTTGGCGTTGATAGTGTTGCCATAAAAACAATCAATCATCTCCAAACTACGGTTATTATTGTGACATCCAACCCTAATCAAACACACCTGAACAAGCTAATCAAGGTCTTCAAGAATGGGCTATATTGGAAAGCTACAGACAGGTGATTTTCATTAGGGTTGGAGTTACCCAGAACTCCAATTTGATCTTTAAAAACGCATTTTCAAAAAGTGCTTTAAACTCTTTTGATAGCGTTTGTTGTGGGACTCAGAGGGTATTTTGATGCAGAAACAGGGTTTTCCTTTGTAGTTTTGTGGACCTCACTGTCCGCTCTGCCGATTCACTAATTCAGTGCATCTTCCAGCAGAGTTGATTGTGAGATCGCAGGTCGAGAGGATGACAGCTCAAGTGTGCTGCTTGTTTAGTGTGGTTTTATTGTGTTTGTCTGCTTGTTTGAGTACAACACACGCTGGAGTCTTAGGTGAGAAGTTCTTTTAGCTTCATTACGGAGCCCGAAGAAGTGCATAAACAAAGCGCCTTACAAAATTTGGTTTTAGACGTATCTGCTTACGAAAATACAGTAAAAGTCAAGTGGAAGTTCAACTTTGTATGTTGGTTTAGTTTTAATGATAAGCAAAGTGTGAATATGCAAACTGTCTTAATGCGTTTTTCATTGTACAAGTAAAACCCACGTAATCACTAATATAGGCGTTTTTGTTTACTGTAAACAAGAACATTAGAGTTATGTGGCTACAAAATTCTTACCAAACTATCCCAGTGTTTAACTTTTGCCTAAATTTTATTGTTTTAAGAAATTCATAATCCTACAATATAACATGGGGAGCTAACCCAGATAGCAAACTGACATTGAATCAACGTGGAAATATGACATCGAAACAACGTTGATCTGACGTTGTTTGCTCATCGAATTAACGTTGAACCAACGTCAGACGCATCATTCTTTCAAAACTAACGGAAAATCAACTTGAAATCAACGCGTTGTTTCAACGTTATGAAAGCAAACCAATTTTCGATTTTCATTTAGCTTTGAAGAATGCCGCGTCTGACGTTGGTTCAACGTTAATTCGATGAGCAAAATCAACGTTGTTTCAATGTCATGAGAGACGTCGTTTCCACGTTGATTCAATGTCAGTTTGCTATCTGGGAAGTTTAACCGATAACTCCACGTTATGTTTTAGTGCGTGTCTATATTTGTTTTGTTTTCTGTTGAGAAGCCTATTGAAATGCCTAAAGGAAATGAGGCTGGTCATGGGGATGGCGTAATTTTTGAAGATGTACACCAGTTAAATTGTATACAACATATTAACTGATGACCATGTTTTCTGTCAGCATTGCACTATTACTAACTCTACTATAGTGGGGTAGGTTGCAACCGCACTCTCGATCTTTGAAACCGATTAATGCACTTTAGTGAGAAATGGTAGATTTCTAAGCCACTTTGAATTGAAGCAGATTAATGTGTGAATATTATAAAGTTTGAGACTCACTGCAAAACTCGTGACTTGCAAATGCTGAAGCAAACTATTACGGCACTTCCTGGTCTCCCCTAATGATCCTCTTGAATCCTCTTCTGTAGTGTCCGGTCAGTGTCCGGCTACGCTGACTGTCGTGCCGTCCCGTCGAGGATGCACTTCTGATCGAGACTGCTCTGGAGGACACAAATGCTGTCAATTTCACTGTGGGCGCTCGTGTGTGCCGCCTGTTTTCAGTGAGTTTTAATTAATGGATGCTATACGTCTTCCAAAAAAAAAAAAAAAAAAAAACAGATTTTCTTTTTCTCTCAAATCGCTAGTAGGTTTCACAAATAATTGCAAAGAAACCTAGATTACAGACTGAATATTCCGGTAAATCCTCCTACAGTCATCTTATGATGACTTTTTTTTTTTTTTTTCATACAGTGAATGAAACATTCAGTATTCAGTTCTGTGGCTTCTCTGTCATGTGTCTCTATAACAGCAAAGCCAGGAGAATGTCCAAGCAAAAAGTTTGGTGCAGGAACGTGTGCCAAGTTGTGTTACTATGACAGTGACTGTCCGAACAATGAGAAATGCTGCAGCAATGGATGTGGACATCAGTGCATGGCTCCATTTGCAGGTATTTATTATATTAGTGTTTGGGTTACTAACTCATTTCAGTTTGTCTTGTTTTATTACTAATTGTTCTCAATGTAAAAAGTGTTCAGCCAATTGCAAGGTTTTGAGCTCAGGATGGCTTTCCAAAAATTAATTCTTAATACCATTATTTATTATTAATAGTTAAGGAGTAAAACTTGCTATTTGGGTTTGGTGCTGTATCTGAGACTGAATGCCGCTCAATGGACAGTCTAAAGTTGAACATCTGTATCCATCCAGTGAGGCCTGCAGCCGAACCACCGAAGCCCTCCGACGAACTGCCCGAGCCTTCCGACGAGCTACCGGAGCCTTCCGACGAATTACCGGAGTCTTCCGACGAGTTACCGGAGCCTTCCGATGAGCTGCCTGCTGCCGAACCCGGAAGGCCTCCTGTGAAGCCTGCAGCCGAACCCGGAAGGCCTCCTGTGAAGCCTGCAGCCGAACCAGGAAGGCCTCCGACGAGCAGCCCGAGCCTTCGGACGAACTGCCCGAGCCCTCCGAACTACCGGAGCCTTCTGACGAACTGCCCGAGCCCCTGCAGCCGAACCCGGACGGCCTCCTGTGAAGCCTGCAGCCGAACCCGGACGGCCTCCTGTGAAGCCTGCAGCCGAACCCGGAAGGCCTCCTGTGAAGCCTGCAGCCGAACCCGGAAGGCCTCCTGTGAAGCCTGCAGCCGAACCCGGAAGGCTCCTGTGAAGCCTGCAGCCGAACCCGGAAAGCCTCCAGTGAAGCCTGTAGCCGAACCACCAAGGCCTTCCGACGAGCAGCCCGAGCCTTCGGACGAACTGCCCGAGCCCTCCGAACTACCGGAGCCTTCTGACGAACTGCCCGAGCCCCCTGCAGCCGAACCCGGACGGCCTCCTGTGAAGCCTGCAGCCGAACCCGGACGGCCTCCTGTGAAGCCTGCAGCCGAACCCGGACGGCCTCCTGTGAAGCCTGCAGCCGAACCCGGAAGGCCTCCTGTGAAGCCTGCAGCCGAACCCGGAAGGCCTCCTGTGAAGCCTGCAGCCGAACCCGGAAGGCCTCCTGTGAAGCCTGCAGCCGAACCGGAAGGCCTCCTGTGAAGCCTGCAGCCGAACCAGGAAGGCCTCCTGTGAAGCCTGCAGCCGAACCCGGAAGGCCTCCTGTGAAGCCTGCAGCCGAACCCAGAAGGCCTCCTGTGAAGCCTGCAGCCGAACCCGGAAGGCCTCCTGTGAAGCCTGCAGCCGAACCCGGAAGGCCTCCTGTGAAGCATGCCGAACCCGCAAAGCCTCCAGTGTGTGCCGAAAACTGTCAAAGTCACCCTTCTGGCCAATGTCCTGGCCATAAGTAATGTGACTATGCATGCAGTTAACTGTGCTGATTTAACCATTGGATGTATAGTGTGTTTCCTTTATCACCAAATAAATCTCACACTGATATGTCTACTTCCTCTTTTCGTTATTTTTTTTATAAGTGGGAAACAAAGAATTAGTTTTTTGTTTCGTTATGTCAGTATTCGTTTGGCTGTTCTCTCACATAATGGCTCATTAGAATCTATGCATGAAATCTCACCCTCCTTCAAAATGCATGGTAGCGTGCCTAGCAGAGTCTGCAATGCGTCACGAGATGAAAGACTGTGTTAAATTGCCTCATGTCTCAAAATGCATAACATTACAGTGAGAATGAACGTAAAAAATGTACAGTGCTCTAGTTGTACCACCTGACTGATGCAGATTCATTTTGCCTTTGATAGTGTTGACATGGAAACATAAATCCAAGCCTGAATCCAAATGCAATGATTGGATAAACATTTCTTCTTCTTTTTTTGGTCCTGAGAACTCCACAGAAGATATGTGCATGTTTTAATATTTAGAAGACTTATATTATTGATTGCAATAGGACGTAAAGCTTCAACCGATATGTCAATTGACCAATAGTTTTCTGCATTCTTAATGTTCAATGTGTTCGGACATCGAGGAAGACAATGGAGACACTACAGGAGCTGAAGAGTCACGCTTTAAATCGCTTGCGCCGAGTTCACACTGAACAATTTTCATTTGGTGACAGGTTTTGGGAGATCACCAACAAATGCCTGAAACATAAGTAAATCGGTGCTCGTTCACATGAGTGACAATATCTGGGCCTGTCGGCGATTCAAAATCCTGCTGTGTGAACGTGTTCTGACTGAAAACTACAGGACAGCGGGATGTTCGGGGAAGAGTTATAGACCAGAATATCGTTATTTTCAGTATGTTCAATCAAGCATTGTCACCTGATGGAGTTTTAGGACACCATAAGGTCACTGGATGGAGTTTTTCGGTTCCTTACCACTGTTGCCTTTGGCTTGCTCAGTTGGAGATATTCAAATTAATTCAACCAATCAGTGATACCTTTGATCAGCTCTACCAAACGTGGATGTTGTTCAACTAAGAAACGAACATTGTTATTATGTTTTGATTGGTACTGTGAAGCTGCTTTGACGCAATCTATATTGTGGAAAGCGCTATATAAATATACTTGACTATTTTAACAGAAAGCACAAACATTTGCTTGAACAGCAGCACAGTGTAAAATGTATTTACCCCCAACTCTCTTTGCACAACACACAACCTTTGCTCCACTCGTCTCCTCAACCCTTAACTCCAGCATAATCTATTTTATTTCTGCTTTTCACTGCAAATCAGCGTGCAGACAATCTGTATCGAATATCTTCTTGCAGGCTATCATTTTGTTTAATAACGATGTTCAATGCAGAGTTATGCCAGTCTCCAGTAGAGATTAATTTCTTGGAGAGTTTAGGAGTTTAGTCATAACTAGGTTGTGGTAGAACTCCGGCTTGTACCACGTGATCGCTGTACCACCTGACCACTGCAGATTCATTTGGCGTTGATAGTGTTGCCATAAAAACAATCAATCATCTCCAAACTACGGTTATTATTGTGACATCCAACCCTAATCAAACACACCTGAACAAGCTAATCAAGGTCTTCAAGAATGGGCTATATTGGAAAGCTACAGACAGGTGATTTTCATTAGGGTTGGAGTTACCCAGAACTCCAATTTGATCTTTAAAAACGCATTTTCAAAAAGTGCTTTAAACTCTTTTGATAGCGTTTGTTGTGGGACTCAGAGGGTATTTTGATGCAGAAACAGGGTTTTCCTTTGTAGTTTTGTGGACCTCACTGTCCGCCTCTGCCGATTCACTAATTCAGTGCATCTTCCAGCAGAGTTGATTGTGAGATCGCAGGTCGAGAGGATGACAGCTCAAGTGTGCTGCTTGTTTAGTGTGGTTTTATTGTGTTTGTCTGCTTGTTTGAGTACAACACACGCTGGAGTCTTAGGTGAGAAGTTCTTTTAGCTTCATTACGGAGCCCGAAGAAGTGCATAAACAAAGCGCCTTACAAAATTTGGTTTTAGACGTATCTGCTTACGAAAATACAGTAAAAGTCAAGTGGAAGTTCAACTTTGTATGTTGGTTTAGTTTTAATGATAAGCAAAGTGTGAATATGCAAACTGTCTTAATGCGTTTTTCATTGTACAAGTAAAACCCACGTAATCACTAATATAGGCGTTTTTGTTTACTGTAAACAAGAACATTAGAGTTATGTGGCTACAAAATTCTTACCAAACTATCCCAGTGTTTAACTTTTGCCTAAATTTTATTGTTTTAAGAAATTCATAATCCTACAATATAACATGGGGAGCTAACCCAGATAGCAAACTGACATTGAATCAACGTGGAAATATGACATCGAAACAACGTTGATCTGACGTTGTTTTGCTCATCGAATTAACGTTGAACCAACGTCAGACGCATCATTCTTTCAAAACTAACGGAAAATCAACTTGAAATCAACGCGTTGTTTCAACGTTATGAAAGCAAACCAATTTTCGATTTTCATTTAGCTTTGAAGAATGCCGCGTCTGACGTTGGTTCAACGTTAATTCGATGAGCAAAATCAACGTTGTTTCAATGTCATGAGAGACGTCGTTTCCACGTTGATTCAATGTCAGTTTGCTATCTGGGAAGTTTAACCGATAACTCCACGTTATGTTTTAGTGCGTGTCTATATTTGTTTTGTTTTCTGTTGAGAAGCCTATTGAAATGCCTAAAGGAAATGAGGCTGGTCATGGGGATGGCGTAATTTTTGAAGATGTACACCAGTTAAATTGTATACAACATATTAACTGATGACCATGTTTTCTGTCAGCATTGCACTATTACTAACTCTACTATAGTGGGGTAGGTTGCAACCGCACTCTCGATCTTTGAAACCGATTAATGCACTTTAGTGAGAAATGGTAGATTTCTAAGCCACTTTGAATTGAAGCAGATTAATGTGTGAATATTATAAAGTTTGAGACTCACTGCAAAACTCGTGACTTGCAAATGCTGAAGCAAACTATTACGGCACTTCCTGGTCTCCCCTAATGATCCTCTTGAATCCTCTTCTGTAGTGTCCGGTCAGTGTCCGGCTACGCTGACTGTCGTGCCGTCCCGTCGAGGATGCACTTCTGATCGAGACTGCTCTGGAGGACACAAATGCTGTCAATTTCACTGTGGGCGCTCGTGTGTGCCGCCTGTTTTCAGTGAGTTTTAATTAATGGATGCTATACGTCTTCCAAAAAAAAACAAAAAAAAACAGATTTTCTTTTTCTCTCAAATCGCTAGTAGGTTTCACAAATAATTGCAAAGAAACCTAGATTACAGACTGAATATTCCGGTAAATCCTCCTACAGTCATCTTATGATGACTTTTTTTTTTTTTTTTTTTTTTTTTCATACAGTGAATGAAACATTCAGTATTCAGTTCTGTGGCTTCTCTGTCATGTGTCTCTATAACAGCAAAGCCAGGAGAATGTCCAAGCAAAAAGTTTGGTGCAGGAACGTGTGCCAAGTTGTGTTACTATGACAGTGACTGTCCGAACAATGAGAAATGCTGCAGCAATGGATGTGGACATCAGTGCATGGCTCCATTTGCAGGTATTTATTAGGGGCCAAGCACCGAAGGTGCGGAGGCACCTATTGTATCTGTGCCGGTTCCTATTATTATTATTATTCTTCTTCCGACTGGGCGTCTATGGCAGCCCATAGACCGGTTTGCGGGAAAGTTGTTTTGGTTTGACATTCTGATAGAGGACAGTCCCAACTTGAAATACACCAATTTTGGTGTCTCTAACGCATTCCCTCTAGCGCCACCAACTGTCCAAAATTTCACTTTTATTATGCTAATAACTTTTGAAGCGTAAGGCCTATCAACAAAATTCTTTTTTCCTCTTGTTCCTGAGCTCATGCCGATTCGATCGCAGCCTATGACGTAATTTTCCGTCATAAAAAAACGGCCGCCATTTTGAATTTTCCAAAAAACCTACTTTTGCGAACTCGTCCTAGACGGTTTGTCCGATTTTCACCAAAATCGCACCGGATCATCTCCAGGCAGTGCTGACAAAAAGTTATGGAATTCAAGATGATTCGAATAACCGTTTTCGATAAACGCGTAAACAAAATTTACGTAGCGCTTGCAAAAACAGACGTGAGGTTGTATCTCCGCAACGCTTACTCGTTTTCACACCAAACTTGGTACGTGTTATCACAAGCATGACCTGAGGCTACGTGCTGCGTTTCGGCGCAGCGCCATCTAGTGGTCCGGAGATATGAAAAATGGCTATTTTTGCTCGTAACTTCTGAACGGTTTCTCCAAAAATCAAAAACTTGGTCTCGTTAGATTCAGGGCGTCATGCCGAGTCGACCGATATCCAATTTTCCCAGATCGGCCATTTTGGCTGTCGGCCATTTTGAATTATGTGCTAAAATGCTGTATTTTTTGAACGCATGAACGAATTGTTACGAAACTCGGTATGGGTCATCAGTACGATGCCCTGAAGGAGCCTGAGAAGTTTCGAAACAGCGCCACCTAGTGGTGAATTGTTTTTTTCAAACGCTTATAACTTTGGGTGTGGTACACTTATTTTCACGGGAGTCATATTTTTGAGGTCCTGAATCGTTGCCGAGTCCAACGATACTAAACATGCTGGGTTTCGTGTTACGGTTGGTGTAGCGTAGCGATTTAGCGCGAAAAAAACACTTGGCGATATCTTCAAAACCGCTGTTCCGATCGAGACGAAACCACCGCCAGAAACACGGAATCATAGCTTGTTAACTATATTCAAATGCCCAAATGCGAAAATATTGATAGTAAGGGGTAGTAAAATTCAAACAAAGTCATGTGTCAGTCATTTTTTACGTGTTTTTTCATATAAATGTTTATAACTCGGAAGTGAATTGAGATATTTGCACCAAAATTGACACACATATGTATGGGGTCACTCTGAGGACACATAAAAAAAATTGTGGGACTGAGCCTCTTGGTGGCGCTATAATAGAACAAAACGTGAAATTCCCATTGACTTCAATAGAGTTTTGTGAAATAAAATGCTATACTAAACAAATGCATTGGTGTAATATTACAAAACTCAGTGTGTGCCATAAGCAGCATGCCCTGAAGGTACTCAAAAGATTTTGAGACAGCGCCACCTGTTGGTCAAAAGTTATAATTAATTTCTGAGAACGCTAATAACTTTTGAATAAATTTGCCTATTGCAATGAAACTGATCTTAATAGATTCCTTGGGTTATGCCGAAAACATAGATATCAGGTTTTGCATAATCAGCCAAACTTCCTGTCCGCCATCTTTATTTCTTTGAAAAGCCTTCTTTTTCGAACTCCTCCTAGACCGTTTGTCCGATTTTCACGAAAATTTAATCGCATCATCTCCAGACCGTGCCGACTAAAAGTTATGAATTGCACGATGATAGACAAAACCGTTTTCGTATACCACAGCATCAAAGTTTAGGCATGCTGCCAAAATTACTATTTAGGCTTTATCTCTGCAATGCCTTCACATTTTGACACCAAACTTTGCATGTGTCATTGTCACCTCCCTCTGACCACATCACATCTATTTCGTAACTGCGCCACCTATTGTTCGAAAGTGATAACCCATTAAATCATCTTATAAGTTAATGTTTATGTGATTTTTTTTTAGCCATTTGCCCAAAGTTCTCTCAAAATGCCCTTAATTGCTCCTTGCTGCAGTTGGTCTGCCACTCCTTGCCATTTTGGCATATGTTGCCGCTTCTTGCGCTTGGCCCCGGTAATGGCTGCTTGCAGCTATATTTATATTAGTGTTTGGGTTACTAACTCATTTCAGTTTGTCTTGTTTTATTACTAATTGTTCTCAATGTAAAAAGTGTTCAGCCAATTGCAAGGTTTTGAGCTCAGGATGGCTTTCCAAAAATTAGTTCTTAATACCATTATTTATTATTAATAGTTAAGGAGTAAAACTTGCTATTTGGGTTTGGTGCTGTATCTGAGACTGAATGCCGCTCAATGGACAGTCTAAAGTTGAACATCTGTATCCATCCAGTGAGGCCTGCAGCCGAACCACCGAAGCCCTCCGACGAACTGCCCGAGCCTTCCGACGAGCTACCGGAGCCTTCCGACGAATTACCGGAGTCTTCCGACGAGTTACCGGAGCCTTCCGATGAGCTGCCTGCTGCCGAACCCGGAAGGCCTCCTGTGAAGCCTGCAGCTGAACCCGGAAAGCCTCCAGTGAAGCCTGTAGCCGAACCACCAAGGCCTTCCGACGAGCAGCCCGAGCCTTCGGACGAACTGCCCGAGCCCTCCGAACTACCGGAGCCTTCTGACGAACTGCCCGAGCCCCCTGCAGCCGAACCCGGACGGCCTCCTGTGAAGCCTGCAGCCGAACCCGGACGGCCTCCTGTGAAGCCTGCAGCCGAACCTGGAAGGCCTCCTGTGAAGCCTGCAGCCGAACCCGGAAGGCCTCCTGTGAAGCCTGCAGCCGAACCCGGAAGGCCTCCTGTGAAGCCTGCAGCCGAACCCGGAAAGCCTCCAGTGAAGCCTGTAGCCGAACCACCAAGGCCTTCCGACGAGCAGCCCGAGCCTTCGGACGAACTGCCCGAGCCCTCCGAACTACCGGAGCCTTCTGACGAACTGCCCGAGCCCCCTGCAGCCGAACCCGGAAGGCCTCCTGTGAAGCCTGCAGCCGAACCCGGACGGCCTCCTGTGAAGCCTGCAGCCGAACCCGGACGGCCTCCTGTGAAGCCTGCAGCCGAACCCGGACGGCCTCCTGTGAAGCCTGCAGCCGAACCCGGAAGGCCTCCTGTGAAGCCTGCAGCCGAACCCGGAAGGCCTCCTGTGAAGCCTGCAGCCGAACCCGGAAGGCCTCCTGTGAAGCCTGCAGCCGAACCCGGAAGGCCTCCTGTGAAGCCTGCAGCCGAACCCGGAAGGCCTCCTGTGAAGCCTGCAGCCGAACCCGGAAGGCCTCCTGTGAAGCCTGCAGCCGAACCCGGAAAGCCTCCAGTGAAGCCTGTAGCCGAACCACCAAGGCCTTCCGACGAGCAGCCCGAGCCTTCGGACGAACTGCCCGAGCCCTCCGAACTACCGGAGCCTTCTGACGAACTGCCCGAGCCCCCTGCAGCCGAACCCGGACGGCCTCCTGTGAAGCCTGCAGCCGAACCCGGAAGGCCTCCTGTGAAGCCTGCAGCCGAACCCGGAAGGCCTCCTGTGAAGCCTGCAGCCGAACCCGGAAGGCCTCCTGTGAAGCCTGCAGCCGAACCAGGAAGGCCTCCTGTGAAGCCTGCAGCCGAACCCGGAAGGCCTCCTGTGAAGTCTGCAGCCGAACCCAGAAGGCCTCCTGTGAAGCCTGCAGCCGAACCCGGAAGGCCTCCTGTGAAGCCTGCAGCCGAACCCGGAAGGCCTCCTGTGAAGCATGCCGAACCCGCAAAGCCTCCAGTGTGTGCCGAAAACTGTCAAAGTCACCCTTCTGGCCAATGTCCTGGCCATAAGTAATGTGACTATGCATGCAGTTAACTGTGCTGATTTAACCATTGGATGTATAGTGTGTTTCCTTTATCACCAAATAAATCTCACACTGATATGTCTACTTCCTCTTTTCGTTATTTTTTTTATAAGTGGGAAAACAAAGAATTAGTTTTTTGTTTCGTTATGTCAGTATTCGTTTGGCTGTTCTCTCACATAATGGCTCATTAGAATCTATGCATGAAATCTCACCCTCCTTCAAAATGCATGGTAGCGTGCCTAGCAGAGTCTGCAATGCGTCACGAGATGAAAGACTGTGTTAAATTGCCTCATGTCTCAAAATGCATAACATTACAGTGAGAATGAACGTAAAAAATGTACAGTGCTCTAGTTGTACCACCTGACTGATGCAGATTCATTTTGCCTTTGATAGTGTTGACATGGAAACATAAATCCAAGCCTGAATCCAAATGCAATGATTGGATAAACATTTCTTCTTCTTTTTTTGGTCCTGAGAACTCCACAGAAGATATGTGCATGTTTTAATATTTAGAAGACTTATATTATTGATTGCAATAGGACGTAAAGCTTCAACCGATATGTCAATTGACCAATAGTTTTCTGCATTCTTAATGTTCAATGTGTTCGGACATCGAGGAAGACAATGGAGACACTACAGGAGCTGAAGAGTCACGCTTTAAATCGCTTGCGCCGAGTTCACACTGAACAATTTTCATTTGGTGACAGGTTTTGGGAGATCACCAACAAATGCCTGAAACCATAAGTAAATCGGTGCTCGTTCACATGAGTGACAATATCTGGGCCTGTCGGCGATTCAAAATCCTGCTGTGTGAACGTGTTCTGACTGAAAACTACAGGACAGCGGGATGTTCGGGGAAGAGTTATAGACCAGAATATCGTTATTTTCAGTATGTTCAATCAAGCATTGTCACCTGATGGAGTTTTAGGACACCATAAGGTCACTGGATGGAGTTTTTCGGTTCCTTACCACTGTTGCCTTTGGCTTGCTCAGTTGGAGATATTCAAATTAATTCAACCAATCAGTGATACCTTTGATCAGCTCTACCAAACGTGGATGTTGTTCAACTAAGAAACGAACATTGTTATTATGTTTTGATTGGTACTGTGAAGCTGCTTTGACGCAATCTATATTGTGGAAAGCGCTATATAAATATACTTGACTATTTTAACAGAAAGCACAAACATTTGCTTGAACAGCAGCACAGTGTAAAATGTATTTACCCCCAACTCTCTTTGCACAACACACAACCTTTGCTCCACTCGTCTCCTCAACCCTTAACTCCAGCATAATCTATTTTATTTCTGCTTTTCACTGCAAATCAGCGTGCAGACAATCTGTATCGAATATCTTCTTGCAGGCTATCATTTTGTTTAATAACGATGTTCAATGCAGAGTTATGCCAGTCTCCAGTAGAGATTAATTTCTTGGAGAGTTTAGGAGTTTAGTCATAACTAGGTTGTGGTAGAACTCCGGCTTGTACCACGTGATCGCTGTACCACCTGACCACTGCAGATTCATTTGGCGTTGATAGTGTTGCCATAAAAACAATCAATCATCTCCAAACTACGGTTATTATTGTGACATCCAACCCTAATCAAACACACCTGAACAAGCTAATCAAGGTCTTCAAGAATGGGCTATATTGGAAAGCTACAGACAGGTGATTTTCATTAGGGTTGGAGTTACCCAGAACTCCAATTTGATCTTTAAAAACGCATTTTCAAAAAGTGCTTTAAACTCTTTTGATAGCGTTTGTTGTGGGACTCAGAGGGTATTTTGATGCAGAAACAGGGTTTTCCTTTGTAGTTTTGTGGACCTCACTGTCCGCCTCTGCCGATTCACTAATTCAGTGCATCTTCCAGCAGAGTTGATTGTGAGATCGCAGGTCGAGAGGATGACAGCTCAAGTGTGCTGCTTGTTTAGTGTGGTTTTATTGTGTTTGTCTGCTTGTTTGAGTACAACACACGCTGGAGTCTTAGGTGAGAAGTTCTTTTAGCTTCATTACGGAGCCCGAAGAAGTGCATAAACAAAGCGCCTTACAAAATTTGGTTTTAGACGTATCTGCTTACGAAAATACAGTAAAAGTCAAGTGGAAGTTCAACTTTGTATGTTGGTTTAGTTTTAATGATAAGCAAAGTGTGAATATGCAAACTGTCTTAATGCGTTTTTCATTGTACAAGTAAAACCCACGTAATCACTAATATAGGCGTTTTTGTTTACTGTAAACAAGAACATTAGAGTTATGTGGCTACAAAATTCTTACCAAACTATCCCAGTGTTTAACTTTTGCCTAAATTTTATTGTTTTAAGAAATTCATAATCCTACAATATAACATGGGGAGCTAACCCAGATAGCAAACTGACATTGAATCAACGTGGAAATATGACATCGAAACAACGTTGATCTGACGTTGTTTTGCTCATCGAATTAACGTTGAACCAACGTCAGACGCATCATTCTTTCAAAACTAACGGAAAATCAACTTGAAATCAACGCGTTGTTTCAACGTTATGAAAGCAAACCAATTTTCGATTTTCATTTAGCTTTGAAGAATGCCGCGTCTGACGTTGGTTCAACGTTAATTCGATGAGCAAAATCAACGTTGTTTCAATGTCATGAGAGACGTCGTTTCCACGTTGATTCAATGTCAGTTTGCTATCTGGGAAGTTTAACCGATAACTCCACGTTATGTTTTAGTGCGTGTCTATATTTGTTTTGTTTTCTGTTGAGAAGCCTATTGAAATGCCTAAAGGAAATGAGGCTGGTCATGGGGATGGCGTAATTTTTGAAGATGTACACCAGTTAAATTGTATACAACATATTAACTGATGACCATGTTTTCTGTCAGCATTGCACTATTACTAACTCTACTATAGTGGGGTAGGTTGCAACCGCACTCTCGATCTTTGAAACCGATTAATGCACTTTAGTGAGAAATGGTAGATTTCTAAGCCACTTTGAATTGAAGCAGATTAATGTGTGAATATTATAAAGTTTGAGACTCACTGCAAAACTCGTGACTTGCAAATGCTGAAGCAAACTATTACGGCACTTCCTGGTCTCCCCTAATGATCCTCTTGAATCCTCTTCTGTAGTGTCCGGTCAGTGTCCGGCTACGCTGACTGTCGTGCCGTCCCGTCGAGGATGCACTTCTGATCGAGACTGCTCTGGAGGACACAAATGCTGTCAATTTCACTGTGGGCGCTCGTGTGTGCCGCCTGTTTTCAGTGAGTTTTAATTAATGGATGCTATACGTCTTCCAAAAAAAAAAAAAAAAAAACAGATTTTCTTTTTCTCTCAAATCGCTAGTAGGTTTCACAAATAATTGCAAAGAAACCTAGATTACAGACTGAATATTCCGGTAAATCCTCCTACAGTCATCTTATGATGACTTTTTTTTTTTTTTTTTTTTCATACAGTGAATGAAACATTCAGTATTCAGTTCTGTGGCTTCTCTGTCATGTGTCTCTATAACAGCAAAGCCAGGAGAATGTCCAAGCAAAAAGTTTGGTGCAGGAACGTGTGCCAAGTTGTGTTACTATGACAGTGACTGTCCGAACAATGAGAAATGCTGCAGCAATGGATGTGGACATCAGTGCATGGCTCCATTTGCAGGTATTTATTATATTAGTGTTTGGGTTACTAACTCATTTCAGTTTGTCTTGTTTTATTACTAATTGTTCTCAATGTAAAAAGTGTTCAGCCAATTGCAAGGTTTTGAGCTCAGGATGGCTTTCCAAAAATTAGTTCTTAATACCATTATTTATTATTAATAGTTAAGGAGTAAAACTTGCTATTTGGGTTTGGTGCTGTATCTGAGACTGAATGCCGCTCAATGGACAGTCTAAAGTTGAACATCTGTATCCATCCAGTGAGGCCTGCAGCCGAACCACCGAAGCCCTCCGACGAACTGCCCGAGCCTTCCGACGAGCTACCGGAGTCTTCCGACGAAATACCGGAGTCTTCCGACGAGTTACCGGAGCCTTCCGATGAGCTGCCTGCTGCCGAACCCGGAAGGCCTCCTGTGAAGCCTGCAGCTGAACCCGGAAAGCCTCCAGTGAAGCCTGTAGCCGAACCACCAAGGCCTTCCGACGAGCAGCCCGAGCCTTCGGACGAACTGCCCGAGCCCTCCGAACTACCGGAGCCTTCTGACGAACTGCCCGAGCCCCCTGCAGCCGAACCCGGACGGCCTCCTGTGAAGCCTGCAGCCGAACCCGGACGGCCTCCTGTGAAGCCTGCAGCCGAACCTGGAAGGCCTCCTGTGAAGCCTGCAGCCGAACCCGGAAGGCCTCCTGTGAAGCCTGCAGCCGAACCCGGAAGGCCTCCTGTGAAGCCTGCAGCCGAACCCGGAAAGCCTCCAGTGAAGCCTGTAGCCGAACCACCAAGGCCTTCCGACGAGCAGCCCGAGCCTTCGGACGAACTGCCCGAGCCCTCCGAACTACCGGAGCCTTCTGACGAACTGCCCGAGCCCCCTGCAGCCGAACCCGGAAGGCCTCCTGTGAAGCCTGCAGCCGAACCCGGACGGCCTCCTGTGAAGCCTGCAGCCGAACCCGGACGGCCTCCTGTGAAGCCTGCAGCCGAACCCGGACGGCCTCCTGTGAAGCCTGCAGCCGAACCCGGAAGGCCTCCTGTGAAGCCTGCAGCCGAACCCGGAAGGCCTCCTGTGAAGCCTGCAGCCGAACCCGGAAGGCCTCCTGTGAAGCCTGCAGCCGAACCCGGAAGGCCTCCTGTGAAGCCTGCAGCCGAACCCGGAAGGCCTCCTGTGAAGCCTGCAGCCGAACCCGGAAAGCCTCCAGTGAAGCCTGTAGCCGAACCACCAAGGCCTTCCGACGAGCAGCCGAGCCTTCGGACGAACTGCCCGAGCCCTCCGAACTACCGGAGCCTTCTGACGAACTGCCCGAGCCCCCTGCAGCCGAACCCGGACGGCCTCCTGTGAAGCCTGCAGCCGAACCCGGAAGGCCTCCTGTGAAGCCTGCAGCCGAACCCGGAAGGCCTCCTGTGAAGCCTGCAGCCGAACCCGGAAGGCCTCCTGTGAAGCCTGCAGCCGAACCCGGAAGGCCTCCTGTGAAGCCTGCAGCCGAACCAGGAAGGCCTCCTGTGAAGCCTGCAGCCAAACCCGGAAGGCCTCCTGTGAAGCCTGCAGCCAAACCCGGAAGGCCTCCTGTGAAGCCTGCAGCCGAACCCAGAAGGCCTCCTGTGAAGCCTGCAGCCGAACCCGGAAGGCCTCCTGTGAAGCCTGCAGCCGAACCCGGAAGGCCTCCTGTGAAGCATGCCGAACCCGCAAAGCCTCCAGTGTGTGCCGAAAACTGTCAAAGTCACCCTTCTGGCCAATGTCCTGGCCATAAGTAATGTGACTATGCATGCAGTTAACTGTGCTGATTTAACCATTGGATGTATAGTGTGTTTCCTTTATCACCAAATAAATCTCACACTGATATGTCTACTTCCTCTTTTCGTTATTTTTTTTATAAGTGGGAAAACAAAGAATTAGTTTTTTGTTTCGTTATGTCAGTATTCGTTTGGCTGTTCTCTCACATAATGGCTCATTAGAATCTATGCATGAAATCTCACCCTCCTTCAAAATGCATGGTAGCGTGCCTAGCAGAGTCTGCAATGCGTCACGAGATGAAAGACTGTGTTAAATTGCCTCATGTCTCAAAATGCATAACATTACAGTGAGAATGAACGTAAAAAATGTACAGTGCTCTAGTTGTACCACCTGACTGATGCAGATTCATTTTGCCTTTGATAGTGTTGACATGGAAACATAAATCCAAGCCTGAATCCAAATGCAATGATTGGATAAACATTTCTTCTTCTTTTTTTGGTCCTGAGAACTCCACAGAAGATATGTGCATGTTTTAATATTTAGAAGACTTATATTATTGATTGCAATAGGACGTAAAGCTTCAACCGATATGTCAATTGACCAATAGTTTTCTGCATTCTTAATGTTCAATGTGTTCGGACATCGAGGAAGACAATGGAGACACTACAGGAGCTGAAGAGTCACGCTTTAAATCGCTTGCGCCGAGTTCACACTGAACAATTTTCATTTGGTGACAGGTTTTGGGAGATCACCAACAAATGCCTGAAACCATAAGTAAATCGGTGCTCGTTCACATGAGTGACAATATCTGGGCCTGTCGGCGATTCAAAATCCTGCTGTGTGAACGTGTTCTGACTGAAAACTACAGGACAGCGGGATGTTCGGGGAAGAGTTATAGACCAGAATATCGTTATTTTCAGTATGTTCAATCAAGCATTGTCACCTGATGGAGTTTTAGGACACCATAAGGTCACTGGATGGAGTTTTTCGGTTCCTTACCACTGTTGCCTTTGGCTTGCTCAGTTGGAGATATTCAAATTAATTCAACCAATCAGTGATACCTTTGATCAGCTCTACCAAACGTGGATGTTGTTCAACTAAGAAACGAACATTGTTATTATGTTTTGATTGGTACTGTGAAGCTGCTTTGACGCAATCTATATTGTGGAAAGCGCTATATAAATATACTTGACTATTTTAACAGAAAGCACAAACATTTGCTTGAACAGCAGCACAGTGTAAAATGTATTTACCCCCAACTCTCTTTGCACAACACACAACCTTTGCTCCACTCGTCTCCTCAACCCTTAACTCCAGCATAATCTATTTTATTTCTGCTTTTCACTGCAAATCAGCGTGCAGACAATCTGTATCGAATATCTTCTTGCAGGCTATCATTTTGTTTAATAACGATGTTCAATGCAGAGTTATGCCAGTCTCCAGTAGAGATTAATTTCTTGGAGAGTTTAGGAGTTTAGTCATAACTAGGTTGTGGTAGAACTCCGGCTTGTACCACGTGATCGCTGTACCACCTGACCACTGCAGATTCATTTGGCGTTGATAGTGTTGCCATAAAAACAATCAATCATCTCCAAACTACGGTTATTATTGTGACATCCAACCTAATCAAACACACCTGAACAAGCTAATCAAGGTCTTCAAGAATGGGCTATATTGGAAAGCTACAGACAGGTGATTTTCATTAGGGTTGGAGTTACCCAGAACTCCAATTTGATCTTTAAAAACGCATTTTCAAAAAGTGCTTTAAACTCTTTTGATAGCGTTTGTTGTGGGACTCAGAGGGTATTTTGATGCAGAAACAGGGTTTTCCTTTGTAGTTTTGTGGACCTCACTGTCCGCCTCTGCCGATTCACTAATTCAGTGCATCTTCCAGCAGAGTTGATTGTGAGATCGCAGGTCGAGAGGATGACAGCTCAAGTGTGCTGCTTGTTTAGTGTGGTTTTATTGTGTTTGTCTGCTTGTTTGAGTACAACACACGCTGGAGTCTTAGGTGAGAAGTTCTTTTAGCTTCATTACGGAGCCCGAAGAAGTGCATAAACAAAGCGCCTTACAAAATTTGGTTTTAGACGTATCTGCTTACGAAAATACAGTAAAAGTCAAGTGGAAGTTCAACTTTGTATGTTGGTTTAGTTTTAATGATAAGCAAAGTGTGAATATGCAAACTGTCTTAATGCGTTTTTCATTGTACAAGTAAAACCCACGTAATCACTAATATAGGCGTTTTTGTTTACTGTAAACAAGAACATTAGAGTTATGTGGCTACAAAATTCTTACCAAACTATCCCAGTGTTTAACTTTTGCCTAAATTTTATTGTTTTAAGAAATTCATAATCCTACAATATAACATGGGGAGCTAACCCAGATAGCAAACTGACATTGAATCAACGTGGAAATATGACATCGAAACAACGTTGATCTGACGTTGTTTTGCTCATCGAATTAACGTTGAACCAACGTCAGACGCATCATTCTTTCAAAACTAACGGAAAATCAACTTGAAATCAACGCGTTGTTTCAACGTTATGAAAGCAAACCAATTTTCGATTTTCATTTAGCTTTGAAGAATGCCGCGTCTGACGTTGGTTCAACGTTAATTCGATGAGCAAAATCAACGTTGTTTCAATGTCATGAGAGACGTCGTTTCCACGTTGATTCAATGTCAGTTTGCTATCTGGGAAGTTTAACCGATAACTCCACGTTATGTTTTAGTGCGTGTCTATATTTGTTTTGTTTTCTGTTGAGAAGCCTATTGAAATGCCTAAAGGAAATGAGGCTGGTCATGGGGATGGCGTAATTTTTGAAGATGTACACCAGTTAAATTGTATACAACATATTAACTGATGACCATGTTTTCTGTCAGCATTGCACTATTACTAACTCTACTATAGTGGGGTAGGTTGCAACCGCACTCTCGATCTTTGAAACCGATTAATGCACTTTAGTGAGAAATGGTAGATTTCTAAGCCACTTTGAATTGAAGCAGATTAATGTGTGAATATTATAAAGTTTGAGACTCACTGCAAAACTCGTGACTTGCAAATGCTGAAGCAAACTATTACGGCACTTCCTGGTCTCCCCTAATGATCCTCTTGAATCCTCTTCTGTAGTGTCCGGTCAGTGTCCGGCTACGCTGACTGTCGTGCCGTCCCGTCGAGGATGCACTTCTGATCGAGACTGCTCTGGAGGACACAAATGCTGTCAATTTCACTGTGGGCGCTCGTGTGTGCCGCCTGTTTTCAGTGAGTTTTAATTAATGGATGCTATACGTCTTCCAAAAAAAAACAAAAAAAAAACAGATTTTCTTTTTCTCTCAAATCGCTAGTAGGTTTCACAAATAATTGCAAAGAAACCTAGATTACAGACTGAATATTCCGGTAAATCCTCCTACAGTCATCTTATGATGACTTTTTTTTTTTTTTTTTTTTCATACAGTGAATGAAACATTCAGTATTCAGTTCTGTGGCTTCTCTGTCATGTGTCTCTATAACAGCAAAGCCAGGAGAATGTCCAAGCAAAAAGTTTGGTGCAGGAACGTGTGCCAAGTTGTGTTACTATGACAGTGACTGTCCGAACAATGAGAAATGCTGCAGCAATGGATGTGGACATCAGTGCATGGCTCCATTTGCAGGTATTTATTATATTAGTGTTTGGGTTACTAACTCATTTCAGTTTGTCTTGTTTTATTACTAATTGTTCTCAATGTAAAAAGTGTTCAGCCAATTGCAAGGTTTTGAGCTCAGGATGGCTTTCCAAAAATTAATTCTTAATACCATTATTTATTATTAATAGTTAAGGAGTAAAACTTGCTATTTGGGTTTGGTGCTGTATCTGAGACTGAATGCCGCTCAATGGACAGTCTAAAGTTGAACATCTGTATCCATCCAGTGAGGCCTGCAGCCGAACCACCGAAGCCCTCCGACGAACTGCCCGAGCCTTCCGACGAGCTACCGGAGCCTTCCGACGAATTACCGGAGTCTTCCGACGAGTTACCGGAGCCTTCCGATGAGCTGCCTGCTGCCGAACCCGGAAGGCCTCCTGTGAAGCCTGCAGCTGAACCCGGAAAGCCTCCAGTGAAGCCTGTAGCCGAACCACCAAGGCCTTCCGACGAGCAGCCCGAGCCTTCGGACGAACTGCCCGAGCCCTCCGAACTACCGGAGCCTTCTGACGAACTGCCCGAGCCCCCTGCAGCCGAACCCGGACGGCCTCCTGTGAAGCCTGCAGCCGAACCCGGACGGACCTCCTGTGAAGCCTGCAGCCGAACCCGGAAGGCCTCCTGTGAAGCCTGCAGCCGAACCCGGAAGGCCTCCTGTGAAGCCTGCAGCCGAACCCGGAAGGCCTCCTGTGAAGCCTGCAGCCGAACCCGGAAAGCCTCCAGTGAAGCCTGTAGCCGAACCACCAAGGCCTTCCGACGAGCAGCCCGAGCCTTCGGACGAACTGCCCGAGCCCTCCGAACTACCGGAGCCTTCTGACGAACTGCCCGAGCCCCCTGCAGCCGAACCCGGAAGGCCTCCTGTGAAGCCTGCAGCCGAACCCGGACGGCCTCCTGTGAAGCCTGCAGCCGAACCCGGACGGCCTCCTGTGAAGCCTGCAGCCGAACCCGGACGGCCTCCTGTGAAGCCTGCAGCCGAACCCGGAAGCCTCCTGTGAAGCCTGCAGCCGAACCCGGAAGGCCTCCTGTGAAGCCTGCAGCCGAACCCGGAAGGCCTCCTGTGAAGCCTGCAGCCGAACCCGGAAGGCCTCCTGTGAAGCCTGCAGCCGAACCCGGAAGGCCTCCTGTGAAGCCTGCAGCCGACCCGGAAGGCCTCCTGTGAAGCCTGCAGCCGAACC